ATGTTTCTGCAGGTCCGTTTTATATGATTTGAAAGACCTTAAAACTTTCTGGTTGCCACAAGTGGATCTTTCTTTTCTGCACATCATGTTTTGAGGAGGTAGAAGTTAAGTACACATTTGTTTTTTTACATACTGTTCAGAACTACATTTTACAAAATGCCTTATTTCATTTATTATTGTTTCTGGAAAGGAAAGTTCTATGAAAATTGTTTTAGTTTGAATATAGAATAGTTTTATTCTTTAGAGCTTATTTTGAAATATTCTGAGTTTAATTCAGATGCATGCCAGTACCTTCCAAAGTAAGGTAATAGAGACAGGTATTCTGATCAGATGGCTTAGAGAAATTTCTAGAATATTCATATGTCTTTGACTTAAATCTAATCCAAAACTGCAGCATTATTCTTTGTACATTTTCATTAGATAGTGTTAACAAACTTAGTTACAAACAAAATACTTAAGCCATTTAAAAAAAAAAAAACATGGGGAAGGTGCTTGGGGACACACTTGAGCCATCTCAGGGGTGGATGGATAAAGAAGGCATCATAAAGGAAGAACTGCTTGGCTATTTTGAGTGTTGAGTGTAAGTTCTTATTCTTACACTCAGGAACTGGGGGAGTGGTGATGAAGGACGTTTATATAGAATAGTAGCTTGTGCAGAGGTACAGAGGTATGAACCTAAAGGATGCTTTTCGGGAAGTACAGGTGATTTGAGAATGAAGGTTTTTGATAGAAGATCAGGGCAAAAAGATGGGAGGCCAGGTCATGAATGGCCACATAGGGAAAGTCAAAGTAATTAGACTTTATTCCGTAAATGAGGGCAAGTCATTGCTAGATTTTAAAATGGAAGATTGACATGATCTGATGAGGTATATGATGTGATGTAACGCATAGAATTAACTATGTTTTGGGTGCAGGATGGTTGTGAGACTTGACATTTCCATAGGAAATAACTTTTATTTTAGAAGGAATCAGACTACTGAGGACTGGAAGGGTTTTGGGTAAAGGGTATCTCAGCTCCCTCCCTATTTACAAAGGAGAGCCATAGTCCTACCGGTAATGCTTTTCCCATTAAAGGTTGGGCTATTCTTATGCACATAGTTCTTCCAGGACTCAGGCCTACGCTGAATCTTAGCCTGTGATATATTAGCATTTGTTCCTCTTTAAACCTCCCCGGAGAGTTCTAAGGGAAGCTCCATTCCCTCCAGCTCAGGGTCTGTTCTCAGCATTGTACTTTGCCAGAGAAAGTTGGGATCCTCAGTTTTTGTCCTCTCTCCAGGAAGGGAGTCTTAGGGATAATGTTCACATTTGGCCCAGGGATCTGAGTTTAGGTTCAGAGTTCAGAATCATGATTTATTACTCCAGTCCACCTCCAACTTGCCTCGCAGAGAGGTGCTGTGAATGAAGCTGGTACCGTATTTTTATAGATCTGTCAGAATGTGGTCTTAGCTGGTTACAAACACAGCAGTGATAATACTTTATTCTGATGCCTAAAAGCAATAAAGCTTTTAATAAATATGCATTTAAATTTCAATCTCTGGTACTTGTTTGCACCCTCTCCCTTGTGTGCTTATTTTTAAAGCCAATTATGTTTGCAGTATAACTTGCAGTTCAGTATTTCCCTTCATTATAACATTAGATGTCAAATGTATTTCTTTTCCTCATTTTCTTTACAGAGGTTTTTGATCTCAAATGTGTAAATTTACTTCTAACCTTTCCTGAATCTTTTTAATCTGACTCAAGCAGACTTTTGTCCTTGGAGCATTTATTTCTGGTATTCCCATTGGAAGGCTTTTTTTCCCTTTACACATCACATGACAGAGAGAAGTATAAGTGGCAGAGACTAATAAAAGGCTACCAAGAATATATATAGGAAAGGAAAACAGCATGAAGAAAAAGTGAAGACGGGTGATGAGCAGGTATGACAGAGAGGTTTGAATAAGAGGTTTAGTTGAGAGGAAATTATTATAGACTGTAGAAAGAGTTGCTTCAGCAGTAGCTCTGGAACCACCACTTGGGCTATGATACATTGACTTTGACTTTGAAAATATCTAGTGTCCATAGTAGATTACTTGGTTATATTCAGATCAGGGCTTTCCAAAGTGTGGTCCTGGCACTGCAGCATCCCATCACCTTGGGTGCTTGTTAGAAATGCAGATTCTTGGGCCTTAACTCAGACCTACTGAACCAGAATCTCTGGAGGTGGGGCCCAGCAATTTTGAATTTCAAGATTCACTGTATTAGTTAGAATGTAGAGAAGATAGGGCTTGCTAGATCAACAGTGCTAGGAAGTAATGCAAGTTATGTAACAGAGTACCCTGTTTTAGGGATTCTTTCTCCCGGAGACTTCTTTTTTGCTGTCATAATCCTTGTTGGTAGCTATAATTTCAATGAAAAAAAAAAATTCCAAGGATTTGACATTGTATTGAATGGAGCGTTTATGTGCTCTTGTTTTACTCAGTGTCTTTCATTTTCTGTAGCTTTAAGATCTCAGCCTTTCTCTGTGTTTGTTACACAGACAGTACAGCTATTCCCTCTTTCTGTTTTTTTTAGGCTCTTAATCCAGATTATACCTCTTTAGATTTCTATGTGAAAACAGTGTGTGTGGATTTAGGAATTGAAATTTACTTGAAAGATGTAAATAAGATATAAGGAAGAGAATGGTAGTTGGGATAGAAGGCATGATGGAAAACATTGAGTTTTCTTTTAAATTGATGATATGGAAAGGCAAAATTCCTTAGAAACATAGTTAAATTTTATGATCTAACTAAAGCTAATATTTAAAAATTAGCTCCTTATCAAGACCTCTTTGATATGGGTCTTGGCTATAAGTTTTTCAATCTTGACACCAAAAGTAAAAGTAAAAATAAACAACAGTTTGATGTAGTGGGGCTACATCAAACAAAAAAACTTCTGCACAGCAAAGGAAACCATCAACAAAGTGAAAAGGCAACCTATTGGATGGGAAGAAGTATTTGCAAATCATATATCTGATAAGGGGCTAATGTCCAAAACATATAAAGAACTACAACTCGGTAGCAAAACAATCCAATTTTAAAAAATGGACAAAAGATCTGAATAGATATTTTTCCAAAGAAAACATACAGATGTCCAACAAATCCTTGAAAAGATGCTCAACATCACTAATCATCAGGGAAATGCAAATCAAAACCACAATGAGATACTACCTTACACCTGTTAGAATGGCTATTATTAAAAAGTCAAGAGAATAACTAATGCTGGCACAGATGTGTAGAAAAGGGAACCCTTGTGCACTATTGGTAGGAATGTAAGTTGGTGCAGCCACTGTGGAAAACAGTATGGAGGTGTTTTCCTCTAAAAGTTAAATGTGGAACTTGCCATTTGTGACAGGATAGATGGATCTCGAGGACATTATGCTAAGTGAAATAAGTTACACAGACAAAGACAGATACCATGTGATCTCTATTATATGTGGGATCTTAAAAAAAATACAAATTAAAAATTACAACCAACTCACAGATAACAGATTCATGGTTGCTGGGGTGGGGGTGGGAGGGAGAACTCGGTGTGGGGAGTCAAAAGGGAAAAAACAAAACAAAAGAAATGAAAATATGAAGTCTTTTAAGAAATGTTAACCTAGGTTTTTGAATTAGCGTTTAAAAAATAAGAGAGCTGGCATGATGGAAAACAATTGAGTTTTTCTTTTAAATTTATGTTATGTAAAGGGAAAATTCCTTAGATACATAGTTTAATTTTCTTGACCTAACTAAAGCTAATATTTAGAAGTTCGTTTTGAATGGTTTAATAGCATAAAATTTAAAAGTAAACAAGGATATATAGTAAAAAGTTTTCCTTCATCTGAGGTACCCAGTGTTGTTTACCTGTCCTTTTATACACACGTTTATGTTACAAATAGTCGCATACTACTATACTTTTTATAATAGACAATTACATTTCTTAAATCTTTTGCCATCATTACTATGATATTGTGTGTATGGATGCCACACATACATACATACATACATGTACACATACACATCTAATCTTCCCACATGTGTTAGTATAGCTATAGAATAAATTTCTAGACGTTTATTGGTTGTGTCAAAGAGTATGTGCATGTGCACCTTTGTTAGATACTGGCAGATTGCCCTCCGTGATGGCTGGAGCAGTTTGGACTCCCGTCAGCAATGTTAGAAGTCACTTTTTTCTCCAGCGCCTCACCAACAAAAAGTTACTGAATTTTTGCCAGTTTGGTTGGTGAAAAATACTTTCTCAGTGTAGTTTCAATTATGGCCAGTATTGATCGTTTTATTTGGTTGTATTTCTTTCCCATGAAGTACTGATAGTTTTTGAATATTTTTTGAGGAATTTCTCTCCGGCTTTGGAGATACCTGTGGGCTTGGTAGATACCAAAATAAAAATTCACTGTACAGTTAGTTTTTGTTTGTAGTTAATATGGAAGACACTTTGAAATGAAACATGCTAAAGAAGACAGGCCAGGAGAAGAGGGTGTGCTTTTGAAAATAAATGAACCAAAGTGATTGTAGAGGATTTAGGGAACCAGGAAATACCTATTTAATGAGAGATACTTAACATCGTATGTGATAATCATGACTTCATTTCTTGGTCTTCTGCTTAGAATTCTGGTAGTTTGACTACAGAATTTACTATTTGGGAATACATTTGTTTTTCCACAGATTTGTGTTAACATTGCCACAGTAAAGTGGAATATAAAAAAGGACTGAAGTTTTGGTGTTATTTGGATTCTAGTAGGTATGCACATATGTGGATCCAGTGTACTTTATAAGGGCCCCCTAACTTTACTTCTCATTTCTACGTTACTTCCAGGTTACTCCTCACTTTGTCTGGATGTCCCATGGCTTCGGATGGAAGGTCCACAATCTGTACCTTAGTCTGAAGAAGGAGATAGATATAGTGTTTCATACAAGATTCTCAGTGATCCAGCCTGTAGGTAGAGTACCCAGAGCAGAGTTCAGTCAGAAGCAGATCTCAAGTGAGTAGGACTGAAAGTCAATTGCAAAGTAGTCAATGAAAATTGGTTTTTTTTGTTTGTTTGTTTTTTTAAGATTTTATTTATTTGAGAAAGAGCACGTGAGACCAGGGCTCCATCCCAGGACCCTGGCATCACAGTCTGAGCTGAAGGCAGACGCTTAACCGACTGAGCCACCCAGGTGCCCTGAAAGATTTTTTTTTTACAGCCGAGTGTTAGCCATAATTGGGAACCCCTAGCCCCTTATCCTAAAGAAGTCCAAAGAAACCACACCACTTGTGCATCACCACTTTCAGTGAACCCTTCCTTTTTAATATCTGTGCCCTGGCACTGTGCCTTTGTAACATACATGTCCAGGTTCTTGCCCAAGATCTTGATGAGTCCAAGGGGAGTGGGTGAGTTGTGAGGAGGAGAGAGGAGAGGAACTCTGAATTTCCCTTTAAAGACCTCCCATACTACTACATTGCTGTGGTGTAAATACCATTGTAAAATACTTGTTCTTTGGGAAACTTGAAAACTTCAAACTCAGATCTTGATAAGAAAGTGAAGAGGAAGTGAGTTTTAATTGTTGAAAAATATATCATTTTGGAAGCATTTAAAAAAACTGTAAACTGAGAGTGAGCAGTTTAACAGCAATCCAAAAATAAGTAAATGAAACCAGCCACTCAGTAGTTTTACTTTATCTTAAATGTTAAATGCTAGTCTGGTTCTAGAACTGAAAAGGACTTACTTGTCTTTCTAAAAGCCTATGTGTTGAATATATAGTGACATTGCTTCTTCTGTGGCTCTGAAGAACTGATTTTGCTACTTTATTGTCAGACCTTTTATGTAAGAAATATGATCAGGGATTTCCCATGCAATTGAGAACCGAGAATTCAGATGGACACTTGAGCTTTTTCCCTCAAATTTCCCTTTCCCTTCTCTCCTGTTGTATATTAAATAGGTGAGATTTTTAAAAGTGAAAATTGAATTGTTTTTCATATTTATTGTGAACTGGCAGAAAAATGGAAAGGATCATTTAAGACAGTTGACTTGGCTAGATAGAAAATATTCCTCTCTGTCTTATTTCCCTGTCCTCCTTTTCATCTCGATTTAAAAAAATTAGATACAAATGCAAAATCCCAAACTAATAGATTTAGGATAAATTAAAATTCAGGTAGAATTAAAGTATTGTGACTTACTTATATAGCCTTTGACACCAAATATGTGTAGTCTTTGAAAAATGGTATTTTATGTTTGGCCTTGTCCCATGAGTATGCTCATTAAATTCTAGAGTCAGGTATTCACTCTTGCAGAAGAGGTGGTTTGGACAGCTAGTGGTTTTCCTGTGGATGTGGAAGGGCGGAGCTCTGTACATTTGATAACCATTTAAAGACAAGGAGGAACCACTCCAGAAATGTTTGATGGTAAGAGTTTTGTACAAAAGTTCCATCAGTGGAACAGTGAAAAATCACTTTTTACTTGAATTTGAAAACATGACTGCAGTGATAAACCTTTTAGCTTTGAATACCAGGAGTATTTTCCCCAGAAAGAAGAGTATGCTGCCCCCCTGCCACCCCTTTTTCCAATCCATCCTACTAAATTGAGAAATCACTCGACAAATGAAAAGGAACTACTCTTTGAAGGCAGAAATTTATCTTATTCTTGCTTTTGAATTGTGGTTTCTGTTTTAAAGCACACAGTACAATAGGCAATATTCATTAGGGTGATTGCCATTAAGAAAAGGTTAATGTGTGCAGTCTGTTGTCAAGCAGGGAAGGTGCGCTACACAAAAGCTTGCCTTCAAAATAGGTTAACAGGAAAAGTTTCTGCAGGTAGAATGATTTAGTTCTGAAAGGGGGAAGAGACCTCAGAGATAATCTAATTTAGCCTATCCTGCTAATTTTGTAGCCTCGGAAACTGAGACTCGGAGCAGTTAACTAGCTGATGCAGGACGCTCGGCTAGTTAGCGTAGTGGCAAAGTGAGCCTTGGAGCCCGAGCTCCTTACTTGTGGTAGCTCCTCACTGTACAGTGCTCAGAAGCTGCAGTCCCCCAAATGTTTGCCTGTGCGCAGTCCACCTGGGCACTCTGCATTCCTGCCGCACAAATCAAAGAGCAGTGCTAGAAAGAATAGAAATTTTAGGTAATGGTAATATTTTTGAATCACTTGATGTGTTCACTGTAGTGTGAACTCCTAAAAGGTACCTACACGTGGCTTTGGCTACATTCCACAGTATTTGGTCTGTCGTCATCTTTGCACTGTTTATTTCTAAGTAAAGATACTGGTTCATCTATGATTTCTAATTAAAAATGCTAGTTCCTTTCTAGTTTAAAATACTCCATTTTATATCCTCTTGAATTCAAAAGGGGTATTTTACATTTCCAAGTAAATAGCTGTCTTTGACTAGCCTCAATTTCCAGTTCCCCAGCTTGTGTTGGTTTTACTTTGGGAATATGTTGAGATTTTCTTCATAGTGGTCAAGTCTGATGAGAGGGCCTTCAGAGAGCCTGGGATGTGTGACGGTAGAAAGAAAAGAAGTGGCATTGAGATCATCAAGATACAGATTCCCCCAAAGGGCTCACGTATGTGGCATGTGGGAGGAACACAGCCTTCACTCCTGAGAACTGCAGGAGAAGCTGTGTTGTCAGGTGACAGGTGTCAGTTTTAGCGCAGGAAGGTGAAGGAAATGTTCACAAGAGAAAGACTTACGGGTGTTGGACTCCCTGTGATCCTTCGTGTTTCAGACCGTGTGTGGCCCTTAGCTTCAAATGAGCTCTTGAAAAGGAGGTTATAACATTCTTGGGTCACACTTTTCTTTTCCTCAAAACTAGACAGAGGTTTGCTCCGTTGATTTGTCACATGAAATGTTGCTGAGGAAAAGTCTGAGGCCAGCTTGATTTCTTTTCCTCTCTTGAGGGGCTGGCTTTTTCTGCATGCATGCAGAAGCCTCTATAGCCTGTCTTTTCCTTTCTTTTGAATTGACAGTAATATATTGGGGGGGTGGGGGGAAGACAAAATGGCCACAAAATTGACCTGTGAGCCCCGTTAACTAAATCTTAAAGCGATGAGAACTCTGGTGTTTCTGTGTATTTATTTCTTTACTTGTGTGAGGCCCATGGGTGTCTGCAGAGATGCAAAGAATTGTTCTAGATGTGGGCTGTGTCATTGCGTTCTTCTGAAGTGATTTAACCCTTCCAGACTTCCCTTTGGACAGGCTCTAATTGTGACCTGAGGGTCCAGACTAGCCCAGAACCAACAACTGTACCTCAAACAGTTACAAACAGCATGATTCCATTCTAGAATTAATCCCTTCTGTCTAATTAGTGCTCCCAGTGTTTAGAATCTGATTTATCTGAATAGTAAGACCTTTAGTTAATCGTACACCTCCTGAAGTTGTATTCAATAGGGATTAGAACCTTAGGAGTTAGGACCCTAAGAGGCAGCAGGGTATAGTGGATGGATCATGGGCTTCAAAGTCAGCTCCACCCCACGTCAAGTCCCAGAGTTGCTTCTAATTACTTTGGTTCAGCACAGTTGCTTGGCAGAATAGGGATTAAAGCAGACATCTTACTTGGTTGGTGTAAGGGGTGTAGATAATATTTGTAAATTATGTTGCACAGTGTCTGTCATGGGGTTGGTTAAGTAGTAGTAATTTTCATCACTATTTGTACATTTGGTAGCTGTTACATATTACATTTTAAGAACATTTAAATTTGGACATGTTAAATCTAGTTAGTGCTACCTTTACATGGCTAGTTATATGTTGGTTAGTGTTCGACATAAGCAAATTACTATAGTCAAACTCTATTACCCTATGCTAATGGGGACTAAACTTTGAGATGGCATAATAGTTGACTAGCTTCCTGTTTTAATTCCTGAGTACTGGGGGTTCTTAAGCTTATGGCTTCAGGAAAGTAGCCTCTTTTATCTCCTGCAGTCTTTCTTCAGTCCCTCTCACATTATAGCAACCACTTGCAAGCCAGTCTTGAATGCAGTGTTAAATCACTCACTGGGGCTGAGGATAATCTAAGTATGACCCTTGACAAGCGAGGACATTATAGAAGCCAACAGTGGACACTTTGCAGGTGTGGCTTAATTTGGATTCTCCTCTCTCTGTGCCTACAAGACGAGCTGTTCATCGTCTGTGGCCCTCTCAGTCTGAGCATATCCCTTACCCCGTGCTAATATAAAGATAGTTAATTTTTTATACACAGCACATTACAGTGTGTTTTCATCATCATCATCTCAGTTGATCCTCACAGTCCATTGAAGTGTCTTCATTTTACACATGAAAAGCACCACAAAGTCTCTAGAGTTGGAAAGACTTACTCCAGACTGCATGCTTTAGTGAAATAATCCAACTCACATGTATGGTGGTGTTGACACTGGATTTTGTGTTATTCTAAATTGTCTGAATGCTGTTCTGTTTCAAAAAATAAAAAATTCTGTGTGGGTTTTATTTGTTATTTGAGGTGAAATGTACATAACATAACCATTTCAAAGTGAACAGTTCAGTGAGATCTGGTACATTCACCGTATTGAGCAACAACCATCATCTCTGTCAAGTTCCAAAACATTTCTGTCACCCTGAAAGAAAACCTGGTACCCTTTAAGCAATTCCTTCCTATTTATCTCCTTCCCCCCAGCACCTGGCATCCACCCATTTATATTCTGTCTCTATGGATTTACCTATTCTGAATATTTCATATAAATGTGATCTTTAATATTGGATTTCTTTCACTTATAATGTTTTCTAGATTCATCCACATTGTAGCATGATTCAGAACTTCGTTCCTTTTTATACATGAATAATATTCCATTGTATAGATATACCACGTTTTCTTTAACCATTTATCTGTTGATGGATATTGGCGATTTCCACCTTTGGGCTACTGTGAATAGTGCTACTATGAACATGCATGTACATGTTTCTGTCCTATTACGCAGCACTCTGTCCTAGATTCTTACCTAAGGAACCCATATGTCCACAAAACGACTTGTATAAGAATGTTTGTAACTGCTTTATTCATAATAGCCCAAAGTTAGAAGAATTCTGTATCTTGATTGTGGTCTTGATTACATGGGTGTATGTAATTGAATTGAAACCTAACATCTGTTTAATTTCACTACATGCAAATTTTACCTTACTTTAAAAGAGGGACAATAGAGTAAACCATGAACCATAATTAAAAAAAAATTCTAGCTGTTATATTGTCTTTGTCCATTCACGCTGCTATAACAAAATACCACAGACTGGGTCGCTTATAAACAACAGAAATTTATTTCTCATAGTTCTGGAGGCTGGAAGTCTGAGATCAAGGTGCTGGCATGATTATGTTTTGGTGAGGGCCCTCTTCCTGGTTTAAAGCAGGCACCTGGGGCGCCTGGCTGTCTGTCAGTGGAGCATGCAACTATTGATCTAGGGGTTCGAGCCCTACGTTGGGTGTACACATTACTTAAAAAAAATCTGGGGTGCCTGGGTGGCTCAGTTGGCTAAGCGTCTGACTCTTGATTTTGGCTCAGGTCATGATCTCAGGGTTGTGAGGTCGAGTCCCATGTCGGGCTCTACGCTGGTCATAGAGCCTGCTTAAGATTCTTTCTCTCCCTCTATCTCTATCGCTCACCTCCTCCCTCTCTAAAAAAAATTTAAAAAATAAAATATTTACAAAAATATGGTAGGCACTTTGCTATGTGCTCACATGGCAGAATGGGAGAGGGAGCTCTGTGGGCTCTCTTTTATAAGAGCACTAATCACATTCATGAAGGTTCCATTCTCATGATCTAATCACCCTCCAAGGGCCTGACATAATACTGTTAACCTTTGGGGGTTAGGATTACAACATAATGAATTCTGGGGGACACAGGCATTCAGAAGTAGCGTGGGGGTGCCTGGCTGGCTCAGTTGGTAGAGCATGTGATTCTTGATCTCAGGGTCATGAGTTCAAGGCCCACCAAGGGCCTACTTAAAAAAAGAGAAAGAAACAGCATGTATTAAATATTTTATTTTATTTTTTAAAAGAATTATTTATTTTAGAGAGAGTGCTAGCGGGGGGGCGGGGTGGGCAGAGGGATAGGGAGACACGCAGACTTCCTGCTAAGCGGGGAGCCTAACGAGGGGCTCGATCCCAGGGCCCTGAGATCATGACCTGAGCCGAAATCAAGAGTTGGGTGTTTAACCGACTGAGCCACCCAGGCACCCCGGCATGTATTAAATAAGCAAGGGGAACAACAGGGGAAGCAGATTGTTGCAGTAACCTAAGTAAGAGATGATGATGGCTTGGCTCAAGATGGTTAACAGTGGAGATGGTAAGAAGTGGTCAGATTCTGGATATATTTTGAAGGGAGAGCTAATTTGGTCTGCTGATGTGATATGGTGGTAGATGTGAGGGAAAGAAAGTTTTCAAGGATGACACTAAGGTTTTTGA